AACTTCTGGAAGTGTCACATCACAATCATGTACTGAACAGGAAGCCTCACCCTGGTGCTGAGGCGAGAACCCCAGCCCCACGGGCGCACACCAGGGACACCAAGAAACCTCCCCAGGACCGCGGCATTGGCTTCTGCTGTCTTCCCAAGCACGGGGCCTTTATTTCTGCTTGGGTCCTTGTCCTACGTGGCTTAATGGAGTTTTTGTGTCGTTTACATTCATCTCATTCTGGGAGAGGACAAACATGCTGGCTATGTGCCCGATGCATTGTTGTGGGCAAAGATGTCCCCCGAGAAAGGTCCCAACCTTGGTGTCAGCCCATGGCTGATTCGCACCCGTGACAAGCTGTGCCCACCAGGGCAGCTCTGGGGGGACAGGAAGCAGCAGGAGCTCAGGGTCCGGCACAGCATGGCGTGAGTGCTGCTGACAGGTGCAGGCAGGACCTGCTGAGGGGCAACCACCACCGAGCATCCGTGTCACCTGTCCTTCTGCAGGGCGCCTGGGGGACACCTGCGGCCAGGCCACGCTTTCTCTCTGGAGGCAGCGTTGACTGTTTTGGTGAACGCTCGTAACATCTATTGACAACTGTCCCAAGTCAGAACCTCTGCTGGTTGTTCTACCTGCGTCCCCTGAACCCCACCGAGTAGGGCCGTTGTCTCCATTTCCGACAGAAAAGCCCATGTTCAGGCTTCCCGAGCTCCCATCAGGGGCCAGGTCGCTCCCAGCCCGTGGCCCTGGGGGACAGGAGCCCGAGCCCCGTTCCTGCTGCTGGCCTCACCTGGCAGGTGGAGTGGAGCCTGCCCCCTCCCCCGCCCCGTGGGGCTAGCTCCCCGGCATTGAGTCATTACTGCTCCCACTCAACAGACAGCACCTCACAGCCGGGACTTAATTGCGTCCTAATTGTTTTCTCTGCGTTTGTTGTTCTCTAATTAGACTCAAAGCTCAGAGGACAAGAACTCCGACGTGATGATTTTTTTTTTGTCATCGCCTTCCTACTGGACCCAAAGGTGTTGCGGGTAAGGAGGTATTGACTGATGGAAGAACACAGGTGGCACAGGGCAGACGGCCGGGCCAGCGCACTGATTGTCTGGAGGACCTACCAGCAGTGAGGTCCTTCAGCGATTAGGCCAATATTCCTTTCTGTGTTGGCTACGGACTAAGGACGAACAGAGCAGTGCCCTGGGCCCTTGCTGAACTTCCGGTCTGGTGGGAGGAAGTTGCCACGGGAGGTGCTGTATCAGGTGAACAGCACGTGCCCTGTGGACCCAGGATGCAGAGCTGGGGCAGGTGCAGAGGCAGCCCAGCTGGAGCGAGGGGGTGGGGCCTCGCGGTGGTGCAGGTCTGGGCTCAGCCATCTGGGAGTGGGAGGGGGAAGTAAGCCTGGGGAGGCAGGTGGAAGCCAGAGTTTAATCGCAGAGAGGCAAGCGAGATGGAGCAGGAGACATTTTGCTGAGAGCCCCCGACAAGTCGTGGCAGCGGAGGGAAGACTCCGAGCATGTCCTCTGGTCCCGACACGACAAGGGCTGTTCTAAGAAGGCCAGGGACGGCTCGGGGGCACGCAGGTTTTGGTATGGGCAGTGTACCACTTGCTAGAGAAAAGACCTGGTTTGTAGCGCTGTCCCTTCTGCTGCGACTAAACGCTTCAGTGTGTGCCCATCATCCCAACAGGATCTCAGCTCCCAGAGACAGCTCTGGAGAGGCCAGCACTCCAGAATCTTCTCGAAGATCCCTGAGGAATCGTGATGGAAATGTGAGATGAGACGAGACGAGCGAGACTGCAGAGCCCACGGGTGCTGTCTACACACACACGCACACCCGTGAGAGACGGAAACAGATAGATGAATAATAAGCTATTTTCCTGGTTCCCTCACTTCCCAAATGCCCACAACAGCCAGGGCTGGGGCAGACTGGAACCTAGAGCCTGGAACTCAATCTGGGTGGCAGGAACCCAGGTACTTGAGCCATCCCTGCTGCCTCCCAGGTTGCACGTTAGCAGGAAGCCGGAATCGGGAGTGAAACTGGGACTCCAATCCAGGCATGCCCGGTAGCAAATAGGAGCGTCCCAAGCGGTCTTAACCCCTGCACCAAAAACCCACCCTAGAAGCAGCGGTTCTTCACAGAAATGGACAGCGCAGAGCAGAGAGAATCTGGTGGCATTTCATCCCGGGATTGCTGTCCTTCCCCCATAGGACGGCTGTCCACTTCTTTTCTCAAGAACGTCGGATGCCCTGACAACTTCCCAGTGTAAAGGCAGTCCAAGCTGGGCTTTTGCACCTGTTGCCAGGAGAGTCCTAAATCCAGCCTACCACAACCCCGAGACGGAAACGCAAAACTCAGCTTCCTTTATCTATTAAACACCGCTAGGAGAAAACATTACCTTCCAGCCAAGGCTTCCTCCCCTCACTTCAAAGAGCAGTCTTCTGCAATTACAAAAGAGACATTCAGCTTAATAGTGGGGGACGTGGAGAGTTCAGGCCACAAAAGGACTGCGGCATCCCACCAGGGGTTTCCTGGGAGGTTGGAGACAATCATTGCCGCAGAGAGAAAGACCTCACACTGTGCAGCTGGCTCCCCTGGAGAGGTTTCAATCTTTTTTAGGAGAAGTACAATCAAGTCCTGGGAAAATGAAAAAGGAATGCATCGGAAATGCTCCTGAACACTCTTTCTAGCGGACCCTAACGTGTGTGAAAGCGACCAGCAGCAGTGCCTGAGTGGCGAGTGAGATGAGCTCTCCCGGAGGGACCTTCTCTCTTCCTTGGAAGACAATGACCCGGAAGGAACTTGGGCCATGTAGAGATCAATGTCCGATGAATAAAAATCAAACAAAAAGCTACAAAGCTACACTTGGACCTTGCTCTTCTATTTGTGTGGTAACAATGCCTGAGGCTGATTAAAAAATGGGGGACAGGGGGAGTTTGGGGCCAGCGCTGTGGTGTAGCAGATAAAGCCGACGCCTGCAGTGCTGGCATCCCGTGAGGTTGCCAGTTCGTGCCCCGGCTGCTCCTCTTCTAATCTTGTTCTCTGCTATGGCCTGGGAAAGCAGAAGATGGCCCAAGCCCTTGGGCCCTTTCACCGGCACGGGAGACCCAGAGGAGGCTCCTGGCTCCTGCCTTTGGATCGGTGCAGCTCCAGGCATTGCGTCCAATTGAGTGAACCAACGGATGGAAGACCTCTCTCCTCCTCTCCTTCTGTGTAACTCTTTCAAATAAATAAATAAATCTTTAAAAAGGGGGGGGGGTGTTTACTCTTCTTCATGAGAGCCATTGACTGGTGGTTTGTAAATCACAGGTCCCACATCGGGGCAGAACACCCCACGCAGTGTCCTGTGGGGAAGCACCAGGGCTGATTGGGAGAAGGGGAAACAAGGCAAGAGGCTTTCCTGGGGTTTCAGTGAGTGATGCTCTGGGGCAGAGGTGTCCCAGGAATCTGCTGCCTGGCCCTGCCTGGGGTGAGGAGGGTGAGGAGCTGGTCCGGAGGGTGAGACCCTGACAGAGGGAGGTGGCTGGGGTGTGCCTTCTGGCTGGCTGGCATTTGAAGGTCATGGCTGCAGATGGGTCCCTCACTGCTCTGGAAATAGGCTAATCCTGGGAGGGCCAGGGTCAGCAAAGCCCCAGATGTGAAAGGATCTTCATTCCGTACAAATCATTATCTGTAGTAAGCCTCTTCTCATGCCAATGCAATATCTCATTCCACCTGTTGAATTACATTACATTTTTATTTTTGGATAATATTTTAAATTTTTATTTATTTGAGCAGCACAGAAACACAGACAAACAGATAAGAGTGAGAACCCATCTGCTGGTCCACTCCACAAATGCCTGCAATGGATGGAGCTGGGCCCGGGCCAGGGTCAGGGCCAAGGCCAAAGCCAGGAGCCAAGACCTCAATCCAATCTCCCAAATGGATGGCAGGTATCAACTACTAGAGCTACCATCACTATTTCCCAGGATCTGCATTGGCGGGAAGCTGACATCAGGAGTCAGAGCCGGGAACTGAACCCCGGTACTCTGATATGGGATGCAGGCACCTCATCCACCAGGCAAATGCCTGCTCCAGAGAGTGTCGATTTTACTTGGTTTAAAAGGCTAATGGTCTGTGTTGAAGGAAGGTATTTCAGTGTTCTGCAGACCTCTGAAAGTTAGTGACTGCGTGACTAGTAAGTGTAGTAAGTGGGGGAGGTCATGCAGCAGCTAGACTGGGACGACAGGATCCAGCCTTCACTGCCACCTGCAGGCCAAGCACCTCCGCCGGGGAGGCCCCCACACACCTACAACCGCACACACTGCCCTCTGCTGCTCCAACTCCTCTGCAGGCCAGCTGGGAAACGTTCTCACACACCCCACCTCTGACCTGTCCTGGCCCAGGCTCCCCTTGCCTATGTCTTCCGTATTTCAATGGCCTGTGGATAACTCCCACCCCTTGAGTCATTCCTGGCCCCTGAGTTAGCTTCCTGATCTACAGTTTTGCAAAGCTCTCCTCCTGCAGCTCCGGGTTCCTAAGATTGCCTCACAGGAAGGAGAGACTTACCGATGTTCAGATTTTGTGTGTTATCTGGGAAGACTTCAAAAAGTTCATGGAGAAATGTAATTTAAAAATTTTGATAAAAAAAAATTCTGAACCCACCCAGCCCTGGCTGTTGCGGCCATTTGGAGAGTGAACCCACGGATGGAAGATCTCTGTCTCTCCCTTTCCCTGTTGTTCTGATCGTCAAATAAATCAAGTAAATAAAAAAAAAAGTAAATTTAGAAATGGTTCGTTTCTTTATTTGAAAGGCAGAGTGACAGAGAGAGGGAGAGATCTTTGGAAAGAGCCAAGCCCTTGCCAGGCCAAAAGCCAGGAACTCCATCCAGCCTGCCAGCTGTGGGTCCCTGCACATTCCCCGAAGTCATCTTCCTCTCTGTGGCCACCTGCTGCCTCTCCATCAGCGCTGCCACCCTTTGAGGCCCGATTCTGTTTCCGAAACTATCATTTAATACAGTTTTAAAAAAAATCAAGCAGAATGAGGCTAACTTTTTCTTTTTTAATATTTAAAGGTATCACCTTCACAATTAGCATTTAAAAATAAATCATCTCACAAGTGCAAACCATTCCCGACGGTGCTGCCCTCGGCTGGCCAGTGTGTCTGCCCCACGCCAGGCACGGACCCAGCTTCCCGTCTCCTTGCCCGAGCAAACCCCCTCAGCGCTTCTTCCAGGTAAACTTTCTGCGGGCTCCCTCCTGGCCCGGCTTCTTCCGTTCTCGGACGCGTGGATCGGCAGTAAGCAGTCCAGCTGCAGCACAAAGAGAGAAGCCTTTATGAACTGGGGCCAACTCGGGCTGCCCGGCAGGAAAGCAGGAGGACAGCAGGAATCTCTGGGCACCTGTCGGGAAAAAGCTCCAGGAGCACAACCAGACCTGGGGTGAGGTACGAGCCGGTGATAAATCTCACAGCACCAGTCTGCTCCCACCCCTTCACGGTACTTCCCAGCCTCTCACACAGACCCCGGCTTCGTTCCCTGGGTCTGCTCTCCTAATCCTGTGAGAATGATGACTCTCTTTTAGATTTCAAGCTTGTTCAATTTAAGATTAAGCTGTTCTTCTGTGGGCAGTCACCATTCACTGCAATGGGACTAACCTCGCATACTTAGTATTACAGAGGCGAGCACTTTAATGAGGACAAGACGTGGAGCAGAAAATCTATTACATGGTGAGGTATAGGGAAGCAGAGAGACACCGAAGATATACACGAATCTACACGCCACAGGAACGTACATATCCAGACAACTGTGTCTATACGAGTATATAACAAACAGGCCCTGTCAAACATATTTGAGAAAAGGAACTATTTTTACTCCTAAGTTGTGTAGTAATAGTCCTTGGTATTTGGAATCTAAAAAGTCAATTTTAAAACTGTATTCTCAGCATAAATAGTTTATTCTAGAATAATAAAGTCAGTTTAAATTGGATGCTTCTGCTTCTAAGTGTTAGGGGGAATTCTGTTTTGGGGAATTACAGAGTCACTAAGAGTGACTTACCAGATGGTCTAAGTGGAAGCTCACCATTAGTGGCTGGGGCCACAGAATGTTAGAAAAGACCATAGATTCTGAGAATTCTGCTGAAGAGAAAGCTGTTTAACTGTTCTTATAAATTAACCATCCAGCATTTCTCTTATACAGATTAGTTATTTTATTAGGGATTTTCTAATGGCTTAAGAGCAAAGAAAAAACTGTAATTGCTCATTACAGCCTCATAAACTTTTGCAGTTACTTAAAAGGCATGCATAGGATAAAACAATATTTCAGGCAAAATACAGACAAGTCCTAACTTAGTTTGAATTTTAAGTAATTATGGATTATTACTTTCAGATATGCACAGTAGCTCAAACTAGAATCGTTAATTTAGGTCCTATGAAAGTATTTTATGACCAAATATGAATCCCATCTAATGGCATATTATTGATAAGTAAATGGACTTTTTAAAAAACATTGATTTGTTTGAAAGTCAGAGTTAAAGAGAGAGAGAGAGAGAGAAGAAGAGCCCTTCCATCCCCTGGTTCACTCCCCAGATGGCTGCAACGGCCAGCACTGGGCCAGGCTGAAGCCAGGAGCCCCTCCAAGGTCTCCCATGTGTAGCAGGAGCTCAAGCACTTGGACTGTCTTCTGCTGCTTTTCTCAGGCCATTAGCAGGGAGCTGGATAGACAGTGGAGAGGCTGGTACACAAACTGGCATCCATATGGAATGCCACACTGCTGGCCCCGTAAATGGATTTTTAAGACACTTAAAAACTTACATAGCGGTTGGTGTGGTGACACAGCAGGTAAAGCCACTGCCTGGGATGCCGGTACGCCGTACGGGTGCTAGTTCACGTACCAGCTACTCCACTTGATCCAGCTCCCTGCTAACGGCCTGGGGAAAGCAGCAGAGGATGGCCCAAGTGGGCCCAAGTATGCATGCCTGCTACCCATGTGGGAGACCAAGATAAAGCTCCCGGCTCCCGGCTCTGGCTTGGCTCAGTCCTGGCCATTGCCGCCATCTAGGAAGTCAATCAGTGGATCTCTCTCTGTAACTCCGATTTCAAATAAACAGATGAATCTGTTTAAAGGGAAGAAGAAGAAAAAACAAACCAAACCTTACACAGTGTAAGCCACAGGCAGTGCTTTACATGGAGCCCTTGGGGCTGGTGCTGGAGGGCAGGGAGTTCGGAGGCCAGAGGAACTACAGACTGAGGTGTGGAAGGGGTCAGATGTGCTCAGGGCTGCACAGCTGGTCTGCAGCACACACAGCACTGTCTCCCTTTCATAAACAGTGTGAAGACTATCATTAGTTTGGACCTCCCTGATGTATTATAAACATTCCAACAGACACAGGCATTTGGACTAGTGGGTAAGACGCCCGTGGCCCACATCAGGGTGTGTGGGCCTGGTTCGTGGCTCTGGCTCCGGACTCCACTTTCCTGACAGCAGAGACCCTGGGAAGCAGTGGTGATGGCTCAGGTAACTGGGCTGTATTAGGTAACTACACAAGTGGGAGACCTGGGTTGCGTTTCTGGTTCCCATCTTTGGTTCCCAACCTATCCTTACAGTTGTGGTCATCTGTGGAGTGGACCAGCGGACGGGAGCTGTCAGTCTGCCTGTCACTCTGTCTCTCAAATATTCTTTAAAAAGTGTTAAAGCGGTACAGATTCTTTCTCATACTGCACAGAGACTCCTGGATTCATGACCAAGTAACAGGATCACACAGAGTAGAGTAAAAGAAAAAGAAAATCAAACTAGCATCATACAGGAAAAAGTGAAAAAATCCAGTAACTTTGGAAAAAAAAATACCTAAGGGCTTTATCATTAACCAAATAATGATTACAAGTTTCTATGATAAAACAGAAACAACCAGTTTGTTTCTTAAACACAACTGAACTAAGTGGCTGTTAAGCTGCCCAGAAGGTTATGCACGAAGGCCAAAAGAAGCTTCCATGGCCGTTGGACTGGGCATTTCAGCAAGGTTCGAGTAATCATTCCTGGGAGTACCCTCCACTTCTTTTTCTAATCCATGCTCACCTGGTAGCAATCCAACCTGAAAAATACACTATGGTTGTAGCCTATCAAGAGCAGCCAGCAAGATGCAATGCTACGCATGTAGGGATGCTCTCACTGATTTCAGATCACAAGGACACGAATCAGGTAGGCACCTGTAGGAAGTATCAGGACACCAGGCCCTTCCCCCCGGGCCCATTACCTTGTCGCATCCACTCCACCTCTTTCTCGGAGACGAAGCTGCACAGGGCTCTCGCCATCGCCAGGCGTATTGCTCCAGCCTGTGACGATCTCCCGCCCCCTGAGACCGTGCAGGTCACATCGTGTTTTCCCAGGCGGTCAAGGAAGTGAAATGGGAACATCAACTGCTCTCTGAAGCACATCAACAAGTAAATGTGGCTAAGTACACTAGAGAGATACAGTGTCATCAATCTCTGCCATCCTTAATATTACAGAAACAAAAACATACTATGCAGGTCAATGTTAAATTTTTCATGCTTTTTTCTCAATCAATTACACCAACATATAGAAACAATGAGCTTTCTGACATTCAGGAGCATAGCTAAGGATACAGCAATGTGCTATATTCACAGCAAGGGCCCCTGTCTTCCCATGTGCTGATCCCTTCTATACTCGCAAAGCTTGAAATAACCTTGTAAAGAAGCCTTCAAGGCAGAGAACTCCATCAGTCCACTGAGTGTAACTTCTCAGGATTCAGTGTGCACATATAAACTAACAACTACCCAGTGCCCTTTGGAATCTATGAGCTTCCCATGTGTACACAGGAGGTCTCTGCAGCGCCTCCAACCGCCGGGTGAGGTCAGTAATGGAAGTGAGATTGCAGGAGGCCCCTGGACAACCATTTGTTTGGCAGCTTACACACTTTTCTGTCTTAATCCCCAAAATTTTAAGATTCTCTAAGAAATGCTTATACAAATAAAGAAATTTAGGCTAAAATTCAGAAAAAAAATTTCATAATTTAACTGCTAGAGAGAATATCAGAATAATGGAGCCATGGAGCTGAAGACGAGAAGCGTTCATTCAGGAGAGTCTGGGACGTTGGTGAAAAACACTGTGGTATAAGAAAAAAATCGTGAATAGGTGAAAAATATTAAAAGACTCACAACTGAAAATGGTGGTTATATTGCTATCCATTTCTTTTTTAAGATTTTATTTATTTATTTGAGAGGTAGAGTTACAAACAGTGAGAGGAAGAAACAGAGAGAAAGGTCTTCCTTCTGTTGGTTCACTCCCCAAATGGCTGTAATGGCCGGAACTGCGCTGATCTGAAGCCAGGAGCCAGGAGCTTCCTCCTGGTCTCCCGCTTGGGTGTAGGGACCCAAGGACTTAGGCCATCTTCTACTGCTTTCCCAGGCCATAGCAGAGAGCTGGATGGGAAGAGGAGCAGCCGGGACTTGAACCGGCACCCATATGGGAGGCCGGTGCCACAGGTGGAGGATTAACCTACTGTGCCACAGCGCCAGCACCTACTATCCATTTTAATTACACTGGACTACAAACAGCACATGCAAAAATAATTACACAGAACGAAAATATTTCACAATTCAACTTTTCTCCTTTCAGGAACCTCACATGAAATCCTGAGTTAAAAGAACAGTATCTGCCATACGAATCAGCATTCCTGTGTTTTGAAGTTTTATTTATTCATTTGAGACAGAGAACCTGAGTGAGAGAGAACGGGGTGGGGCGGGGAGGGGCAGTACACAGAGAGAACAGCTACCCCATCCAGCTCATTCCTCAAATGTCTGCAATGGCCAGGGCTGGGCCAAGCTAAAGCCGGGAGCTGAGAACTCCATTCAGGTCTGCCATGAGGGTGGCGGGAACAGTTACTTGAGTGCCCCCCTCCCCGCCCCCTAGTGTCTATATTAGCAGGAAGCTGGAGTTGGAAGCCAGAACTGGGTGTCAAACTCAGGCAACTCAATTGTGGGATGTGGGTGTCTTAACTACTAGGCTAAACAGCAGCCCCTGAATAAATATTATTATTTTAAAAATAATTTTCTCATTTATATCTTCTCTGAATGCTATTCCTAGGGGACCCACTTTATAGCATGTAATTAAATATACAATTACACATTCTTCTATTTTTCTATAGTTGTTTAAAATGCTAACCTTGTCTCCCTGTTCCATGATTAGTCTTGTGTGAGGAATCTATCTCTTTAGGCAGACATACTCAATTAAGAGTTGCCTAACAAAGCAAAGGCTTTTCCAGATCACAAAGGTTATCAGTCTTTGTATCCCACAGTACCAAGTATATGGCAATATGCTTGTTGCTAAGTGAATGGATGAATGAATGCATGAATGAATGAATAAAAAATTCCCAGGAACACCAGGAAGCCAACATAGCTTCTACTCCCAACGCCTGGCTTGTGTTTATGTTTTTAAAAAAGTCCCTGCCAGCATGGTGGTGTAGCAGGTTAAGCCTCCGCCTGCAGCGCCAGCATCCCATATAGGTGCTGGTTCCTGTCCTGGCTGCTCCACTTCTGATCCAGCTCTCTGCTGACGGCCTGGGAAAGCAGCAGAAAAAGTCTGAGTGCTTGGGCCCCTGCAAATGCATGGGAGCCCAGAAGAAGCTTCTGGCTCCCGGCTCTGGATTGGCCCAACTCTGGCCATTGTGGCCACTTGCGGAGCAAACCAGAGATGCAAGACCTCTACCTCTCCCTTTCTCTAACTCTCTGCCTCTCAAATAAATAAATTAAAAAAAAAAAAAAAAAAAAAGACAACCTTGGAAAGGTAAGTAAGCAGCTCTACAGACAACCTTGGAAAGGTAAGTAAGCAGCTCCACAGACTATGAGGCAATCATCTTAGAGATCATCAAGTTCAACTCCCTCCTACCAGTTAAGGAAGTGACCTTTAAGCATTACGGCTAAGGTCACACAGCTAAGAAATAGAATCAGAAAGAAGATCCTCAATTCCTGGTTCTCTGGTCAGGAGTCACTTCAAGCTGCCTTTGTAAGCTCCAGAGCAGCTTATGCAAGAGGCAAGGCCAGCCCAGGGTACCAAGGTCCCTTAAGTCCCCACACATCCTTAAAGACGATGAGAGGGGGTGGGTGCCCATTCCCAGCAAGACAACAGATATTCCTTAACCACAGCAATGGTATCCTAGGCCCAGAACAACACCAGCCTCACACACGGTCCTCAGTAATGCCTACAGAATTCAAAATGAAGAGCAAGAGCTGAGGCTATAATTTAATTGTGAGATCAAGCCATAATTGAGACTTGCTTTTAAATCATCAGAAGTCACATCTGAATACAAATGAATAGACAGGTTATCAGTCAAATGCCATTCCTCCTGGCAGTTCCCAATGTGGACTGGGTCTTGCTCTGGCTTTTCCTAAGGGAAATACAAGTTTCCTCCATCCCTTTCATTGTGAGAATGATGGCAGAATTAGTTTAATTCACATTAAATAGAGTTAAGAGTGGGCTACTTCTTGACACAGGCACACACAAATAAAATAAACATACATTTCCTGAAGTAATTATTCTGTCCAGAAGCTCATACTACATTAGAGGAGTCCTCTTTCCCTTACATAAGCGTTGGGATCAGAAGAGCTTTAGCCCTTTTGACCTTAAATACCACAACACATTCAGGAAACAGGAGAGGGATTAGGAAGGGAGGAACTAATCATACGGAACTTCTGTTACTTGTGGATAATGACAGTAACTACTGGAAAAATAATAATCGTCTCAAGAAGAGGCCTTTATACAGTGACTCACAGAGAGCTCTAAGATGAGGATATTTAGAGGATTAGAAGAACTGTAATATCTATTTATGATTAATGACTATTTCTCCATGGGATACAAAGTTAAAAAGATACAACTGCCATATTTACCACGGGGAACTAAGCAAAGCCTGACTGAGCTCTTATTTCAACCTATAAATGTCAGGATTCTTGGCTGGCTCAATATATATGCAATCGACTTCCTCTGAATAGAGAAAAAAATTCAAAGTTGTAAAGAAGACTTTTTCTAATATTTATGACCAAGAAAATAAACACAAACCACAAGCCATCTACTCATACTTTTTGCCCACCTGGTAGTTGATGTTTGTGGCACCTCCTCTCTCCCTTGGCCCCAGCCCCCAAACTAGAAGGTGGAAACCTACTTTTCTTATATTTTGGCATAGTCTGCATTTCAGAACATAAGATATATCTAAGACTATTCAAATTCCAGTAGGATCTGATGGAAAGAGGACTAAGAATCAATCAATGAGGAATTCTAGATACCCTTTTTCAAAATTCTGGAAAACACTATGAAAAAAATAGCAATAACTTTTTTTTTTTTTTTTTTTTTTGACAGGCAGAGTGGACAGTGAGAGAGAGAGACAGAGAGAAAGGTCTTCCTTTTGCCGTTGGTTCACCCTCCAATGGCCGCCGCTGCAGCCGGCGCACCGCGCTGATCCTGGCAGGAGCCAGGAGCCAGGTGCTTTTCCTGGTCTCCCATGGGGTGCAGGGCCCAAGCACCTGGGCCATCCTCCACTGCACTCCCTGGCCATAGCAGAGAGCTGGCCTGGAAGAGGGGCAACCGGGACAGAATCCGGCGCCCCAACCGGGACTAGAACCCGGTGTGCCGGCGCCGCAAGGTGGAGGATTAGCCTATTGAGCCACGGCGCCGGCTTAGCAATAACTTCTATTTAGGTAGCTCTATATTTGTAAAGAGAAATAATCATTCAGACAAATAGAATTAAAAAAAAATCACAAGTCTTCTTAATGGATCATGAGGTACCATAAAATATATTTTCCTTAGAATCAAAAATCACACAAAATCAAAACCGAACCTGTCTTGTAAGACCGGAAAGTAAAGCAGATAATCAATTCCATTCACCGTGATTCTTCCACTTCCTTGCTCATAAACAACCGCCTCTGCTCTTGCACTCTTTCTTTTACCTTAAAAAGGTAAAATTCCAATTAGTAAAGAACTTGAAGACCAGTGCTTTGAGACAGGTAGAACTACATTAAAATGTGTCTTCTCAGAGAGGTAATACACAACACTACACACAGGAGATTTCTGTGACTGTCACAAGGTAAAAATCAAACAGGTAAACCACACCACAACAGATTAACAAAGCTTGCTGCGGGGTAATTTTCTCCTTCAAATCCATTTCAGGAGTGCTACAATGATTTTACATTAGTTTCAACACTGACAAACTCATATTCATCTACCTTAACTTTTAGAAATCTCCCACCAATTTGCATAGGGCTCTTCTTTTACAAATAATAATACATCTAATATAATTTTAAAGTGTGAAAATATGACAAAAATATAACTGGTAGAAATGTAAAAGAATCCTTAGGAAAGGTCACATTTCTTTGAAAACAGCAGCTGAAAATGACAAAGGAATAACGTTAAATTTTTTGAGGGCTGCAAATGTATGATTCAATAATAGGTCAATTCTTAAAAGATGGACTACGTCAAATGTCTTTGATAAATACAAGGAGAATGTGAACTAAGGACCTCAAGTTTTCACTTTACACAATTTGAGCATTGGACAGATTCACCGAATAAGCTATTACTGTCAATATTTTAATGATTTTAACCAGTTGAAGATGTAAAAATAAAAGGATTTAATATAGAGATACAAAAATAAAAAGTGTTAGTATGCCTGTGCGGGTATGTATCTGAATTTTTTTCTTGGAACATTATAAGGTCCTTTTCTTTATAACTTCAGTAGAATCTTAAAAATTAGGGAGTCCAGTGTGGGGGTACAAAAATAAACAAACAGTCGGAGGCAGGGACCGCAGAGCGCGACAGCAAACACAAACAACTGCGGTTCCCCTCGTCCCTGAACTGACTCTGCACGGAGGCCGTTACCTTCGCAGGCGCTGAAGGCCACCCCTCGCTCGTCATACTGCACGGGTTCTCTCAGCTGCTGCTGCGACTGAGTAGGGACCCGTCTGCGAAACCTCTGCACAAATTCTTCTTCCGCAGGACCACACTGCAGCGCCAACAACTTTTCTAGCAGTCGAATGAACTGCGTGTACTGCGGACAATAAAAATTCATTAGAAGATGCAAGTGTAATTGCATTTGCTACATTTTTTCTATTTTTATATACTTGATCTTTCCAATGCTGCTTTTCTTGATGAATTTTGACAGGCTGACACTTCTGCATCTTCACGCTGCTTTTAAAACAGCATGCAGATGCATCACTTTCCTCAAGCGTCTTCAGGGCTGACTCTTTTCTTTCGAGAAACAAAGAGACTTATCATTCAAAGAAAAATCAATTTCTCTGTAGTATGATTAAGAAACTGAGATTTAAATTCACTTTCAAAAAATATTTAGATGATCTTCAAGTGCAATTTCTACTCTTTTATTAGTACTGTATCAAGAGGAGCCTGATAAATAATTCCCAGTTATGTATAGTAAAATGGAAGGAGTTTGATTTTTGAGAAAATGTACCTCTTAAATTATATTTCATAATACATTTGGCAAATATATCTTTGGCTGTTCAAGCTGTGTTACTTTAATGTTTATGATTTCCTTTAAAACCGAACAATCAAGCTATTTAAAAATTCAAGAGATACTTGACTTAAAGGGCAACCTCTTGAAATAAATTATCCTTGCTACTCTGTGCATTTTTTCTAATAGTTCTTGAACATGTGATTAGAGAGTAAACAACTTGGTATTAACCCCTTAAAATTAGAAGCCAGAATAATCATTCTAAAGTGTTTATGGAGAAGGAAACAACTAGTACTTGAGATCTTTAGTTAATATGGATTGTGAAAACCAGTTTTCTGTAACTTTGTTTTTTAACAATCCTAATATCATACTCATCTTTGTTACAACTGCCTTTACAGTGTAAATCTGCAGTTACTATTTGGAAATATGTAAAAATCTCACCAATAAGATTAATGCTAGGCTAACTGCTTCAAATACTGCTTTGTGTGGTCTAACAATAAAAGAACAGGCAATTTTCTGAGGAGAAATGAACCCATGGCCTCAGAACTCCCCTTTTTTCCCCTCCAGGCACTGGCCTAAATTCTTTGTTCTCAGCCAGTCTCTGAACCCTATCTCATTCTCATTCTCGGTGAACCTACGGCTGAACCTACAAAGGGCTGCTACTGGTATGACCGGCCTTACTTGAGGATGGGGTTTAAGGTTTAAGAAGTCACTAACTACCCCCACCTCCATCATCCTGATACCAGGCAAGAACCTCAGGATTTCTTCTAACGTCTAGTACCCAGATGGTGTATTAGATAATCATATGCAATTTATTTGTTTTGTTTTCCTAGTTGCATATGCAACTTTTTATTTTGTTTTCCCTATTAAATGCCTTGGGATATATCCAAAATGGAAAAAAAAAAAAACAAAAACAAAACCAAACTCAAACTTGAGTTATAAAAATCAAAGCAGCCAGAAAACAGGGAACAATGAAATGACACATTCATGAAGAAGTAAAGGGATTTTTCAGTTAGATTCAAGTGTATTAATACCTGGCAATTATGATATCAGAAATGAACTCCAGATCTACCACTAAGCAAATGGGCAACACCTTGTTTACGCAAATTGCAACTTTTCCAAATCATTAATTTCTTCAATATGGTACATGAGAAAAAGAGCAACTGAAGTACGCACACCTTAAAATCTACACGGTAGCAAGGCACTAACAATGCTAGCTACTGCCATGGAAGAAAACGTCCTTCTTGGATCAATCTGTGAAATTAGCTACATTCAGATCTTCTAGAAAGCCATCCAAATTAGAACATCAAACTATTTAAGACATTCAACTTCCGGTGACACAGAGCTACAATGGAACACTTAACACGGCAAGGACACAATTAAGACCTAAAGTGGAGGTCATAACCTTTGGGTATACGATTCACATGGGGAGCCGGTTAAAAAGACAGGCTTCCTAGAGGTTTTGTGCCAAGCTGGGGGATGAGGCTTAGGATACTGCAATTTCTAACCAGCGATCCAACGATTCTGATACAGGTGGTCTGGAGATCCCAAGAGGAAAACTTCTGACTTCTGATACGGCACGCGAGGAAAGCCAGGAAGCGACACATTGCACCGAGGTAGCCATGTGCTGCAAACCTTCTCTACTTAACCTGCAATGGCTCCTTGCACTTCGCATGTGCTTGCAAAATTAGCTACGGACCTCACTGAAGGAGAGGAAAAATTGCATCTGCTGCACATCCTAGGAACGACCGGCAGACGACACAGGGGCACTCAGAAATGGAGGCTGTGGAGACCCAAACGTGCCACCTTCCTGACCACAGGCTAGGTCTTCCACGGAGGAAATCAGTGGTGAATGCATTTAAAAAAGGAAAATTGTCTGAGGAACACTGCTATTAGGATCCTAAATACCGCAATTGTCTGCATTATTATTTCACAGGTCCCCTTAAATTAAAAAGATTAATTACTCACATCTTGATCTGACAGTTTTTCCACTAACATTTCTTCTAGTTCCTCCTTAATCAGCCATCTGCTGCCAATCAGGTCTCTGTTAAAATATCACATATAGTCTCTCTTTAATTAACCATGCAATTAGAGTTATATCACAAAAGATACTACAATATAGTAGCAATTCTTGATTCAAAAACAAATTTTCATTCAAGTAAAATTATTCTTTAAAAAAGATCATTTATTTATTTCAAAGGCAGATTATATTTTTATATACACATATACTCACATATATATGTGAAAGAATGAGATTATCTAGTACACGAGAGAGAGAGAGACCAACAGACCTTCCGTTTTTTGGTTCACTCTCCAAATGCCTACAACAACCAGGGCTAGGTCAGGCCAAAGCCAGAAGCCAAAACTCCACCCACGTCTCCCACTTGGGTGGCAGGAACCCGAGTACTTGGGCCATCGTCCACTGCCCCTAGATGAATTAGCAGGAAGCTGAATCTGAAGCACAGGCTAGCAGGGACTTGAACCAGGCTCGTGAGAGTCCCAAGCCATGGTGTAAGCTGTACCCCAAGTAAACTATGCTTGAGAAACACTCCACTCCCTCAGTACGCATTAGAAAAGATCTCTACACTAGCAAATGTTCTTTGAAAAGTTAAGTATTACATTCTAGAACTCATCTGATATTAGAAGACACCAGATTTCTTTCTTTTTTTTTTTATTTGACAGTTATAGACAGTGAGAGAGAGAGAGAAAGGTCTTCCTTCCGCTGATTCACTCTCCAAATGGCTGCCATGGCCAGAGCTGTACCGATCCGAAGCCAGGAGCCAGGTGCTTCCTCTGGATCTCCCATGTGGGCACAGGGGCCCAAGGACTTGGGCCATCCTCCACTGCCCTCCCTGGGCCACAGCAGAGAGCTCGACTCTAAGAGGAGCAACCAGGACAAGAACCCGGTGCCCATATGGCGCCACAGGCAGAGGATTAACCAAGTGAGCCAAGGCACTGGCCCCAGAAGACACCAGATTTCTTAAAGATTAAAACTGTGCTTATATAATTTACTTCAAAGAAGACGTTACGGACAAAAGTTAACCTGTCAAATGTCTAAAAATAGTACTAAAATCCAAATACAGCACTAGGAATGCATTTACAACCTACACAAGGTGTACTCACAGATCTGTGTCTTACACAGGAGGAAATGTGTGAATAAGTAGCCAGAATTTAAAACCTGTTGCTTCGGTTGATGGATCTGATCCATGACTAGTTTGCCAAACGGAGGCACAAATTTCACAATAACAAAAGAATTCTAAAGCATGCAAATATTGAAAAAAATGTGCAGCTATATACATAGGAATTCACAATGCAAAATGGTAATACATTTAAAACATAAATCTGGGATGAAATAACATATAAATAACTTCAACGTCTGCTTCCCCCCAAAGAAAGATACTGCTTATTATTTGTACCCTAACTTCAATGGTGAATGCTGATATACTGAATAACTTTTAGGCTCTAGGTATTTATAAAAATACAAGTGGCATGCTTTAGTTCAAATTTTACATATGTTTCAATGCAGGAAAAGACCTCACCTGATTTCGGTTTTCTCTGGAAGCACTCCTTTGACTTGCAACTGATTTTGGTGTTTTTCCACCTGGAGTACCTTTCCATACACTTCCTGTGGCAAATAAAATATACATGCTACAGTAAGAGAGTGGCAATTATTATTTATGACATATTTCATACTCTTTCCTGTGAGTGCTCCTTATTTCTAATGTGGTCTCCTCAAGGAAGGTAGCTGCAGAATAAATAAATAAAACTGAAAATGATCTTTAATAATACTATTTCACATCCCAGCTAAAGCATGGTAGAGTAATCTCAATGAAAATTGAGCATCCCACTTCATAGCACACTTAACTTTAACTGATTTTAAAATAACTATAAAATTTTTACAACTCCACTTCAGTGAGGGTGGTTTAAAAAAAAACCTGAAGTCAGAATTACAGACCATTTTCCTTAGTTTCATAAACAGAACAAAAAATTTTCCTTAAGGAAAGTTACAATCTGTGGTATTTAGAATTGAAGTACTTAATATTTGACATCTATATAATATTTAAGATAACAATTTTTGTAAGTATTTAATGTAAAAATTACATGCAGGTTGTATTTTTGAAAAAGTTGCATATTTTTCTTTGATTTCTTCCTATTAATTCTCTGTGTGTCACTTGTTAAACTGCAATGTAAATAGGAGAAAGTTTGTCATTTTGCTAGAACTTGTATCAAGCAATGATCCAGCAGTGTAGAGTTATCACTGGAATATATATATATATATTTTTTTTTTGTTGCCAGGCAGAGTTAGACAGTGAGTGAGAGAGACTGTCTATAGTGAGAGAGAGACAGAGAGAAAGTTCTTCCTTCTGTTGGTTCACTCCCCTAATGGCCGCTACGGCTGGCGCTGCACCGATCCAAAGCCAGGAGCCGGGTACTTCCTCCTGGTCTCCCATGCAGGTGGCAGGGACCCAAGCACTTGGGCCATCCTCCACTGCCCTCCCGGGCCACACCAGAGAGCTGGATTGGAAGAGGAGCAACAGGGACTAGCATGCGGTGCCCCAACCAGGACTAGAACTCGGGATGCCGGCACCTCAGGCGGAGGAATAGCCTAGTGAACCGCAGCGCTGGCCTGGAATATATTTTCTGCAAAATGAATTTATAACAAGCCCAATAATGCAATGGCCTCCAATATTTTTGAATGAGCATAGTTATTTTTTGAAGATTCCCTCACACTTAGTACATTTGTATATATTCATTTATAATTCACACATAACCTACTGTACCAATGCCTAATGAACAGACACTTTAAAAGGATGAGTTAGAGATTATTGAAATGACTTCTTTTGCTGTTAATCATGATAGCTTCCGACACCATAAAATCAGAGGACACGGTGTGTTACTGTTCACAATGTCAGTACCAATCTGCATCTTTTTAAGAGAGTCTTGACGATTTCAAGTTTTGGAAGGTAACTTCTTGGTTCCTGATTTTACTGCCCCATCACATCACCAAGTTCCTGAGAGTCTGTTCCAAGAGTAGGAAGATATCCCTTTGCCATTACTGTCGTATTCATGGGTGCTCTCTTCAGGAATCCAGTCTTACTGGGGAAAAAATGTTAAAAAGCAAAGAACGAACGATCAAAAGGAAGGCTGTGAAGACTGCGTCTTTGAAATTCTGCAATAGAGATGAGAAAGCTGACATTATACTCCGCTGGCAGGAGTGCTCGGTGAGTAAGGTTATAAAAGCTCAATGGCTGAGACCCTGGAGTATTTTTTGTTTTTCATTAAGGGTACAAGTGATAGTTTAGAAAGAAAAAGAAGCAGAGAAAGACAAAGATTTAGAAAAAAAAAAAAAGTAGCACTCTAGACTTCCAATAGGGAATATGAGCATCTCAACCCGAGAGTGAATTCATCATTCACGCTCAGTCATTCTCAAGGTGCGGTCTCCAGAACACAGTGCCAACACAGACAACTGTGGTTAGAAATATAAATGATCAGGGGCCAGCGCTGTGGTGTAGCAGGTAAAGCCATGGCCACAGGCATCCCATATGGGCACCGGTTTGAATCCTGGCTGCTCCACTTCCAACCCAGCTCCCTGCGAATGTGCCTGGCAAAGCAACGGGGAGGATGGTCCACATGCTAGGGACCCTGCATTCACACGGGAGACCAGGAAGAAACTCCTGGCTTAGAACTGGCTCAGCTCCAGCCACTACGGCCATCTGGGGAGTGAACCAGCAGATGGAAGATCGCTCTGTCTCCAACTCAGCCTCTCAAATAAATAAATAAATAAATCTTGAAAAGAAAAGAAGAAATGCAAATGTCCAGGCTCCACTCCTGACTTGCTGCAGAGGAACAGCTGGGGTGGGTGTAGCTTCCAGGTTTAATGGTGCTTCCGAGTGATGCACACTGAAGTTCAAGAACAACAGAGGGCCTAGCTCAACACAACAGCCAAGGGGAGATGGAGTAATTCAATCCCAGTGCACACACAAGTGTGACCGCTCCTACAATATACCCCTAGCTCAAACCCATCGTCTGTAGCAGCAAAGGACTGTATCTGACAATTTAAAACAAAAACACACAGTCCACTTAAAGAAAACAAGAACTATGGTGACCCATTCACATACAGAGCAGGGAACTGTTCTTCAATTTAAGTCAAAATTTTACAATTTGTTTCCCAAGAACTGGTGAGCCTCGCTGACGGTGGTTAGGGCACTTTTAATTCCTTTTTGAAAACTAAGATACTGGGTTGGGATTCCCACTGGCTAGTACATCGGAAAAATTTCCATGCAGTTCTAGAACTGTTTCGAGAAAGCAGTTCTCAAATTCTCCAAACAGGTAAAACAGAAAACTCCCCACAGAATGCTGCCTCGCTACTCGTGTGCAGTGTGCACCACTGGCACACAGCTTGTCACTGTGCACTCGGAACAGCCTGTCCACAGCCTGTCGGCAGCCATCATCAGGTGCTGTGGTAAAGGAGTGGCAGAAAGCTCCCAGCTGTCTGGTCCAGAGTGCTGAGATCCACGAGGGCAAAAGTCAGAGAGCGTAAACACCTTTCCCCTTCTGCAGGGAAATCTGAACTAACAGAACGCCAACAGTAGTGAGACTCCCTCCTCTGCTAGTCAAGGCAACCATAACAACAATCATGAACCTGCTCTGTAGGTAAGTTTCCAGCCCAAGTTGAAGCTGCCATCATTTTCCAATACCTTTTGGGTAATTTTCACTGTAAGTCTATATTTTTCTTATAATTTTTTTCATCATGCCATTTCCTACTATTACTGTATTTAGATCCGCAATAATTTATAAATGGTGCAAGTAAGATGCTCTGCAAAAAATGTGCATGAGAAAACAACCCATGAAAATACATGTCAAATTTCAGACACGGTAAATTCTACTCATTTAAGGCAAATGCTTATAATTTGATGGTTGTAATCCATCAAACTACACAATGCTCATTAAGCTACTCCTTGCATTTCTCTAAATAGGAAAATATGTGTAAAAAGTACCTAGCCCAGGACCTGACCTGTGTAACGGCCAAGAATGCTGGTAGGGGTGCGGGATGATTTTTGAAAGTCGAGTCATCTAAGCCATTTGATTGGTGCATCACTTCTATGCTTTATCTTCTGCATAATAAAACCACTCTGGAGATTCTACCTTGGTTAGTTAGAGACAACAGTTCTCTGGAACACAGATTCTATAGCTTCAACTCCCTGAAGAGATATGTTCTAATTTACATCAAAAAAATCCTTGAGGGTATAAAATATGCCAGAACTGTCGACATCACAGATTATCGCTGGTGGCTGCTGGTATATTGTGAAGTTTCCACTTAATTTTTAAGGGACACTGGAGAATTAGCATGACCCCACCTTCACTAAGTTTATATACTGTATTTAATAGTGTAATTTTCAAATATGACAGGAATAACCCAGATGTGAAATGCTGAATCATTAATCACAGCTATGATTAATATTTCATAAAATCAAAGCAAGCCTATCCACCCCTCGTGTCATCAGATTTCCATAATGTATGAGTCAAATTTAGAAGGTGCCTAATTTGAAAATACCAGATGCTCAGGTTGCAGAAAAGAAATGCTGAAGCTAAATCCTTCCAAGAACATGAGCAATATGATTTTTAGTATCCCTCTAAAATCTGTTTGGGTTATAGTAATCATATGGAAATTCCAATTTTAGGAAGGGTAAACAATAACACTTCATGGGGGGGTGGCAGCACAAGAAAGTCAATTATAATTTGGTACATAAAATAAATAGTAGCAAACTAACAGTAATTATCATCTTAGATACCAGGGCAGTAACTTACAATTTGTGTTTGACAAAGAACTCACAGGAAATCGCTTTTTAAAATAACAACCGTCTAAATTTTCTGGCCACTGGCATTTACAAAATCAAATGAGGTAAGTATAAATACAATTCAGAGAGGTTTCTACTATGCATTTAGAGTTTCAAGTGACATCTTTCTATTGTGGACCTCTGCTACTGGTCTGTGAATACAATCTGCTATTCAGTGTACATCATGTCTCACTATTCAGTGTGAAAAAGGAAATATTCTCCTGTGTGGGTCTTCTGGAATACCACCCAATGATGACTTCACAGTGCTTGTAATTCTGATATTTTTACTACTCAAGTTGAAGCCCCATGATATATCCTAACAAGTGTACCATTAGAAAAGAAGTAATTTGACTAGAATCAACACAGAGACAGTAAGAAATTGAGTTCGTTTTTTTATAAATGAATTTTCCTAATTGTTACATTTGAAGCACACAAGATATACAATGGGAATTATTCACATGCAAAGAGAATGTACATTAAAGATACTTCTAGAACTGCAATTTCCACCACTGAATTAATTACTGAATTAACTCCTGCTGTCAAGAAGTCTTAAAACAGCATGCAGATAGACTTCAAAACCAGTCCACAGCTTTTTAAACACAAGCACTTTACACAGTTGTGAAGTAGTTATTTTACAATACCTCACGGTGAGAAGGGGCACTATTTTAGTTCCACTTTTAAAGATAACAGCACTACATCCAAAGGTTTTGAATATTCACCCGAAGGTCACAAAGAGGACCTAGGAACATCAGAACTAAGCAAGGTGCTCAGTCCAAGGCTACTGCTTATGGAGTCTGGGGTCCCCACTCCCTGCAGCGCTGCTGTCCACACACTTTAAACAGCAGGTTACTTCTGTCATTGAGAATAAACTACAGAATCTCCAAGCAACTCGAGGGCTTCTTTCAACAGGACGAACGAACCCTGTTTATGCATAAGTTGCAGGTTTAGAATTAGCTGGTTTTCTTTCATAGTTTAAACTTTTTTTTTCTGATTCAGAATAGTTTCAATATATAATTTATTTGTTCATTTTGTACTTTTTTGGGAATATAAATTTCATTAGTGGTCACACGATTTCTTCCATTTCAAGAAATATTTGTATAATATTTCATCGCTTACTGTAAAACTAGTCCTGAAGTATCGTTTTCTATGATGCTAAATTCCCAGTGCAGTTCTTACCACCCTTCAAGATTGGGGTGAGTGAAGCTAATGCGAAATGTCATACATAAATGCTTTGTGTACTGGGGCTGACACCAGACCTGAAACAGAGCAGACTTCGTTCTCTCTCTTCGGAGGAAGCACTTTCAAGGTTCTGTGCAGCACTTCTGGCACTGGTTCCATGGGACTTGGGGAGGTGTGCTGGGCCCCGCAGTTCTGTGGTCTTGATCCACAGAGAGTCTTAGCAACAAGTTTCCTTCCCCAAGGCCTTCACGGAGCTTCTGTCTGTTGGGTAGACCCTCACTAGAACTTCCCAGTACATAATGTGAGTATGCAACTTTCCAAACTGACTGCCCTCCAGGACCCCCTTTTTGGAGGATGTTTCCTACTTGTGTTCTGCAGAGAGCACTCTGGGAAAAGCTGTTTTCAGATGTACTTGACTGAGTCAGACACATTTTGCAAGAGGGCTCCCTCTTCAGAGCCAAAATAGTCACTTCCCAAAGTGAGTTCTAATAATTTTCAGCTCAATTTTAATAAGCGAATTTTAATTTTCTCAAAACATATCTATTGGTAGATAAAAAAAATACGGAGTTAGCATTTTTCTTAAAGGACCTACAAAAACCAAACAATGATTATCAAAGCCACAAGTGCCTTGCTCGACCCTACAGTGGTCCGTTCCCTCCACCGCCCAACTGGTCATCTGGGACAGGATCAAGCACTGTGGTCCATGAACATAAGGGCAGCCCACCCTTCAGGCAGAGCCCACTCTCCAATCTCCTGAAGAGTGTACTCAGGTCTCCTGGGTTGGTCACAACTCAGTATTTCTTCCGTACAGTTTTTTTTTTTTTCTGCATAGACACATTTATCCTCTTCAAAATCTTCCTTTCCTTTATACCTTTGCTTAGTTGTTTGAGGAAATTTCTTTTGTTGTTGTTCTCTGTTCTTCCTTGTGCCCCCAAAACCTGAACTAAAGCCCTAAATCATGTCTGAAAAGCAGCGGGTCCACTGGTGAAATGGCTACTTGGGAAATGGGAAGCCACCCATTTCGGGTGAAAAAAAAAAGCAGCCATTCCAGTGCCATCAACCTTGGGAGTCTCCTTGACAGTACTTGGTGATGCTGTGAGAGACTCAGAATGTCTCCTGCTTATTAAAAACTACTTCTTATTAGGAATTACTTTGTCAGTAATACCTTTTTCATTACATATGCACGTATTACCAGCCATGGTGTAAAACAAATGGGTTTTTAACAACTTTCCCAGAAACCTGAAGACACGCGGACTATCACTATCATATCCATAGAAAACAGGAGTCCCAAGTGCCCTGCAAATGAATCTTTAGAGTACGACACATGAACAAAGTGTGAGAAACTCCCTAGGTCAGCACATTTCTCTTCACTTTATATTTTCCTACCATGCTTCATTTCTGGGCAGGAAAAACAAATTGTATGTTTTTTGTTACCGTCATCTTTCCTCCAAAAACCTCCCCACTTTACCACAAAACTTGGGTGCACTAAATATAGGCCAACTGGAAACAGTATTCGCTAAAGCTTTACATTGTCCTTAACTGTTAGCTTTATCAGGACTATTCTTAGTGACTATAAAGTAATATATAGTGACTACATATTACTTATATAATATATGGTCTTAGTGACTATAAAGTAATAGATAGGCTTAAGAGACAAACAGCCTCCTTAGCACCAGACAGGCAATGAACTGGTATCAGAGAACGGCACACAGCCTCTGGCCTGGCCAATGACCTCCATGCCATCCACAATTACTGCTGGTCAGTGTCTGCCTTAGAGTCCTTTACCAATACAGAGGAAGACAATTGCATCAACAGAAACAAATGGTAGCAAAAAGACCCATTCTCAGCTCTTCAAAGCCTGCCAGTCCTCAGGGGCCTCTTCCCGAGCTGTGGTGAAGATGCTGCAGTGACACTCAGAGAAGGAACCCCACCCGCCGCCCTCACCACCCCCTACCCTGGCCACCCCCTGCCCAAGAGCAGGAGAACAAAGGAGACAGCAAGTGTGTGAGCCGGTTCAAGTTCTACAGTTGGACTTTGCAGGCGGTAACTCACTTGACTACAAAAGCGCTTCTGTAAGCTGCGCAGGGAATATTTAGGCACTACCGCAAAACCACACTATCTCAGATGACGGTGATCTGCATTGTAATGAAACAAAGCCAGTGCGGTGGCGGCAGAGGTAATTAATGACATTTGCCATACACAATGCTGAAGCACCAGGCAAATATTTAGGAATTACTGAGATGAACTGAGACATAAAAGCCCAAGGAACTCTACTGTATGTAATGAAACCTGTATTCCTCAAAAAGCAGGTTTCTTAATCAGACGCAGTTTGAGATTTTAGTCAAGAGTATGGTAAAACTGTCTGCTGAGAACCCATCAGTTTCTTGAGCAATACCTTTTTACAACACATAAACAAACTAAAAATAAAGTTAGGCCTCTTACACAATGTGTAATTTCTTCATTATGATGGAATGCAACAAAATATCTTGCCCTTGGGCTGCTCACTTTCAGCCAAAACAAATGCAAATTGCTTGTCAGATGACAGCTGCTTGATAAGGCTCCTCTCCAAGACCTGCATGCTTTACTTTTTTCCGTGAAACTTGGGATGAAAGGCAGAAGGCAGGAAGAGAATTAATGTAGCATACAGTCTAAAGGCAATGCTACAACCGTGATTAAGTAGAAAAGTTAAAAGGCACAGATTTTCCACAGCTTCGCTGCGTGCAACCCATCCGTGTAACAAGTTGACAGGCCTAGCGCGTCAGCTCCATCATCCCCTCCGACAGCTAAAACGCAGCATTGCATCCCTTTTCAGAGAAAATTTGCGTCTGCACCATGAAGCGTTGTACATTATTTCTTAGCACTGCAGGGGGCTCAAGTCCATATGGAACCTTCACAAATATTACCACAGATCAAACCAGCGGCGTTCGGAGGCAGATTTGACATACCTATTTAAATGAACAGCGGGGGTCCTCCCGGCAGCCTCGGGCTGTGCGGGAGAGAACCTCGTGGAAGCCTGAGCCGCAGCTCCATTACTCAGCAAAGACACACTCTGCATTTATCATTCACTTCATTTCTGGCAGGGCAAGGAGCTCATTTGCCCAAGGTCAACAAAGAGGGAAAAGAAGGTTTTCTTTTTTTTCCCCTAGAAATAAATGTACCTGACAAGTGGGGATTTTGTCCTTTGGGTTTGTGGAGCACACACACACACCAGATAACTCTAAAAAGCAGAGAAAATGTGTACATTGATTCAAGCCACGGAAATCTGACTGGGGACTGGGGAAGCCCAAGAACAATTTCTGTAACTTAAGAAAAACATATGATGAAAAAGCACAAAGTTTAGCATCATGTTCTAAAAATAAAATGGGTCCTGCCATTTAAAAATCGGTACTTTTTTCATAGCAATTCTGGGTAACTCCCAAATTTGCACACGATCAAACGCTTACAGCTCCGGAAACAAAACAAAACCTGTTCATAGTATCCTCAAAGGCAGCTGGAAGTCAAAGTGTAATAAAATATTTTCTGAGCTTGTTTTCTGAGCCCAACTTCTAAACTCATAAACTGCACTAAACTCTGAAAGGCAAAAATTGTATAAAGCAAAAACAAAGTACAGACAACTATTTGATTCTCTCCCAAGGTACATGCCTCTAGCGTTATACCCTTTCCTTACCTTGGAAGAACATACACACACTATTACTGAGCTGAACATCTATCTCCTAATATGATTTCAATTTGAAAGTAAAAGCATTGTAAAGACAAACCATTCTGATATAAATTCTATAAAGTTTACCTTTAGCCAAAACGAAATAATAAAACTCAAAGCCTTTCATCAACAGTCTTACCTCTGGAAGGTAAGCACTAATAAAATACAAGGTAAATTCAGAAGCTGAGAAAAGTCTCCAGCATAGTCTTATAGCTTACAGTTCATATTCTTGATAAGAAATCTGATATACTTACATGCATTAGTGCGTAATATGATTGCTTGCCAGTATAGAAGAGAAAATGAAATGGACGGCCATCTTCTCCCCACTGAATTGCTAATAAGAAGCCAGATGAAAACAAATAAAAATATGCACAGAGATAGATTCAATTGCAGTTATGAGATATGCTTAAAAATTTGGATTAACTTTTAAAACACTAAATACTGGTATTTAGAATTCTACTATTTTGTTTGATACTTAATATTTTGTACTTTTAAGGTAAATAGTGTTTATATTTAGTAGAATATTTCTAAACATTTCTATAAAACTTTTTGTAATTTGCTTTAAATAAAAACATTAGGTTTGGCTGTAAGTACAGTGCACTCCCACACACTTCAAAAGGAAGACTGACAGAAGTCAATAATGGGTACATCCAGAGAATTTGAAACAGGCATAACAGAACAAAGAAAAAACTAAAGAACGCCTGTTTCTACACCCTATCATTTGTTTCAACCCCATGGAAACTTCTGGAAGTTTAAAACTTCCACCACACCAGGGCTTCAAAAAAGTGTTACATATAACTCCTTTTGAAACAAAGAGGGCTATTTAAGTCTACTAATCACCAGACAGACTTACAAATGGAGTTTACTATTTTACTATAGTAAATAAGTCAAATACTATGGCCACATCCTTTACCCATATTTCTGCTGAGTTCTCTGATTCCTAAGAATTCCTGTGTATTAAAGGTTATCGTTTCGGTCTATTACATAAGTTGTAAGTCGTTTTTCTCAGGCTCCTTTTGACTTCTGTTATGGTATCTTGCATAATCAAAACTAAAGTATGTACACGGTTAAACCTGTCACTTTTCCTCCACGGCTGTGTTTCTTACCCGTCTTTTCATCCTTGATCCCACTAAGGAGCCTTTTAGATATTCTCCTCCAACTGCCTGTCCCCCTCCCCAGGACATTTTAACACCACAGATACGCTGCTTATCTGCACATATAGACGGTGGTCCTTGAGAGAGCCACAAACTGTGGTCCACAGCAGGGCCTCCTCACCCCGTGAATCAATCTTATACCGCACTAAGAAAGTACACTTTAAGACTTTCGGCTACTTTCCTAAGTTTTCTTCTGGGATTTTTGTGTGTTTCATGTTTAGATATTTAATCCATCTGCAATTTATGTGTGTGATGCAGAAATTCAAGTATCACTTTGTCCAGAAAGAGAACCATTATCTTTCTGCTACAGTTCTCGGAATCAGCCACCCTTCCCTTGGAAACCCTAACTGAAACACAGGTAGGATGCCTTTCTTTTCTGAGAACAACTACCATCTGACACAGTCTACTTTAAGAGAATACACTAACACTGAAGATCAAAAGTCCACAATGAAAAAATGTCTTGATTAGGTGTTTTGCTTGAATGTAAAACCAGATTTTTCATGGATGATTTAAACACTTTTCCAACATCACTGTTATAAACTCCACGAAATTCTACATATTTTTCAACTTTGTCCCTTCACTGTGCAACTGACTTTCATTTTATTGTTAAAGTGGCAGGTCAGAAGTGAAAGGAAGGACGAACATGGCTGCAGACAATTCTCTTAATCACTGTTAGGCTGGAAAAGATATTTGAGGTGGTCACACCACAGACGTGTGTGAATGTATGATTTTTCAGTTTTATAATTTTCTATATAAATCTCATATGTATTATTTTATATGCATTACAATTTTGTTCCTTTTTATACGGCCCACCATTCAGTTATTTATAATAGGTAAGAGATTTCAAAATAGATTACTTAACACAAATAACACACTCTTAAGAAAGATTAAGTGTTAAAATTCCTTTGTCAGGGGCAAGGTGAGGGTTTATTGTTCTAGATTCTTTCTGTGCATTTATGTATGTGTACCTTCATGAGACAGAGTATTGGCTGCTTGTATTTTTTTTTTTTAAACAGACAGTATTAAACTGTTTTTACACCGCATACTAAACCATTTTTATTGGCTTTTCCTACCCAACAATGTCTCATCTGTGCCAATACAGCTAGATTTGGTTCACTTTTTACCACTTGTGCATCATTCCACGGTACGGTTCTGACAGTTCATTTAGCCACCCTATGATGAACATTTAGACGGCTTCCAATGTTTTACTGAAAGATAATATTTATAATTTTCATAATGGTGGTGACAACAGTCTCTTGTTACTGTTTTACAAGATATTATTTCTGATCATTGATGTAGTCTCAGATGTTATTTGGCTATTTTTATTTTCTTCACTTATGAACTGCTTCTTTTCTTTTGCCTATTTTTCTATTAAGCTTTTTAAAAATTAATTTGTAAGAGTAACTTATTTTAAATATCAGGCCTCTGTCATGTTTAATTTTCTAGTGTCTTTCTTTTTGTGAAAGAGTTTTAAATTTCAAAACAGATAATTTCCCTTCTTTTTCCCTTGCTTAGGGCATACTTATTTGTTATTTTAAAAATACTGACGTAACGATTTTCAAGCCTTGACCCAACTCTGTGATCATTTGGATACAACCTACTTTTAACATTCCATTAAAGGTATTAAGAAAAAAAGAGGTACATACACATGTATATTCTTATGTACATGTCTGTACCATATATGTAAGTATACATTTTCTGCAGGTAGAAGTCAGTTTTTAAAATAGTTCTTGTCCACCGAAGTACATAAGCTCAGGGAAAGTGTGCAATTCATTTGTTACCATTAAGCCCACCGTGTTCACCCAATCGTCACTACGTTGCGCTGCATGGATTTAGCCACCACAATGCCGAAATTGGTTGAATGAACGTATCATCTCCCCATGATGAGCATTTCCTCTTGATCTATACTGTGACTTGGTTTTATAAAAGGTTGTCAATACAAAAATTCAGCACAATTCACAGTGAATGTTTTGCATTCAGATATCCAAATAATGATATTTTACTGAAATATCCTAACATAGGTTTCAGTTCCATTTTCTAAATAAGCAATCGTAACACCTATGAATAATAATAGATTTTTCCTAATTTCTTTTTGTTATTCACAGCTTGTTTATATTAGCCATTTTTTCCCCTTCAAATCAGATGGGTTAAAACAAAAACAATCCTGATAAACAGAGGTGAGTTTAGCCTTAGTGGAATCAGGAACTAGAGCTGTGTATCAAACCCAGGCATCCTGATATGGGATATAGGCATCTTAACTGCTAGGCTAAATGCCTGCCCCATTTCTCAGTCTTTTTTTTTTTTTTTGTAAGACTTGCTTTAAACAGAAGAGGGTTTTTGTTAATCCAGAAGCTTCTACGTTTTAATAAGGGAAGTGATAGTATATTACAAGTGCTACAATTTATCCAATCTAAAATTCATTGATATTAACAAAATTGGGAGGGAGGCAGCAAAAGACATTTTGTTAACTCTAGACGAGTACTATTGTGTAGTTTTCATACAGGCTTCATTTATTACCTCCCCAAAAGCTATCATAAACCCAATGCCATATTTTATAATTAGCCATGTCGAAGAATTGAGGAAACATGAAAGATGGAGCACATTTATAAAGTTATCCAAAATGTTGATAGCAAGATTCAAAAGCAGTTATGAGTGGTATGGGCCCAAATACTTAAGTCATCACCTGCAGCCTCCCAGCACATTTGTGGGGAGCTGGACTGGAAGCCCAGTCAGTAGCTGGGACTTGAACCAGGCACTCTGGAATGTGATGCGCGTGTCCCAAGCAATGGTTCTACCTGCTGTGCCACAATGCCCACCCACCCTTGATCACTTATTCTTAGCTGCAAAACACTTTTTACATATTTCATGAAGACAACTCTTTAGAATGTGAGCAACTGCTGATATGAAACCTCACACTGTGGTAAAGAAAAAAGCTATTTTATTTCTGAGCAAACAAACTTACCTCGTTGCTTTGGAAAAATCTGTTCAGGATGCTGTAAAACACATTAAAAGTGTATTAGATAATTACTGTAACAAATAAAGCTGAGTGAAAATTTTAAAAATAGTAATTAAGATAACTACCTTCATTATTGGCCTGGCTCGTTTCTCAAACAAACCACTTGGCAAAAGGTAAGCAATAGCTCTCTGAAAATACACACAAAGGTTAATTAACAACTGTTACAAAAACAAATTGATATTATAACTAATAGGTACTGAATGCTTACTGTGTCACATACTGAACTAGAGTTTCATATACATTATCTCATGTCATAATTTTTCAAGTGGGATAATAAAATTACTATACATATGCCCCCCAAAAGGAAAAACAAATGTAATTATCAAACTGTTTATTGACAGTTTTCAGGTGTCAGCTTCAAACATGTTACTCCTTGAATGTGATACCACATTTTTAATGGAAAACTAGAGGTGCTCCTGACCCACCTCGTGGTAACGTGTTCAAGTGCCATCATTCCAACTCCCAGTTGGTGTGCAAATACCTGAGACAAGCAGGCTCTAGGTTGCATCCACCATGACATCCCATCCCTGAGGTCAGTCAGGTTCTTTAAAATGTTATGTATTTGAAAGGCAGAGTGACAGAAGTATTCCATCTGCTGGTTCACTCCCCCGAAGTCCACAATGCGGGGGTGGGGTGGGCTGGGGGTATGGGGCCCAAGCACTTAGGCAATCTCCCACTGCTTTCCCAAGTGCATTAGCAGGGAGCTGGATGGGAAGTGGAGCATCTAGGACTCAAACTAGCACTCCAATTTGGGGATGCTGATGTCACAAACTGTGGCTTAACATACTGTGCCACAACACTGACCCCCACCCCTGAGGTTTTAATAAACTCTTTTTTTTTTTTTTTTTGACAGGCAGAGTGGACAGTGAGAGAGAGAGACAGAGAGAAAGGTCTTCCTTTGCCGTTGGTTCACCCTCCAATGGCCGCTGCGGCCGGCGCACCGCGCTGATCCGAAGGCAGAAGCCAGGTACTTCTCCTGGTCTCCCATGGGTGCAGGGCCCAAGTACTTGGGCCATCCTCCACTGCACTCCCTGGCCACAGCAGAGAGCTGGCCTGGAAGAGGGGCAACCGGGACAGAATCCGGCGCCCCGACCGAGACTAGAACCCGGTGTGCCGGCGCCACAAGGCGGAGGATTAGCCTAGTGAGCTGCGGCGCCGGCTTTAATATACTCTTTCAACGGACACTGAAAAACTGATCCAATATCAACATGCTAATTTAGTAAAACATTTTTTTAAGAAAAAGAAAAAGAAAGCTACTTTTCTTTTTCCTTCCTTGCAGGAGAAAAGATAGAATCCAAAAAAATCTATTCGAGAGGTGGAGGGACAAAGAGATACAGATAGATAACAAGAGTGAGTGCATGCTCCCATCTGTTGGTTCATTCTCCCCATGCCTACAGGGGTAGGGACTGAGCCAGGAGCCAGGAGCCAGGAACTCAATCCAGGTCTCCCGTGTGGGTGACAGGAACTGAACTACTTGAGCTACCTCCCTGCTGCCTCCCAGGGTCTGCAATAGCAGGAAGCTGGAGTCAGGAGTGAACTGGGTATCAGATCCATGCACTCTGATATGGGATGCAAGCATCTTAACCCCAGGTAGACTTCTGAAATGATTCTGAGACAGCTGATTGCCATTTGGGAAAGGATAAAACCAGATCCAAACCTCAGACACACAGCAGAATAAACTATGATTCAGAGCTGAACATGTAAAACAAAACCAAACAAGCACTGGCAAAACATATGGGTGAATTCCTTTATAATCTACATATTATAATACTGGTTAACTATGGCTCAAAATGCAGAAACAATTATAAAACAAAGGAGATTTACTAAACTGCACAAAAAAACAAGGCTCAAATGTACTCATAACAATAAGAGTACAATTAAAACTACTAAGATAACTTTCCATCTAACGGGTGTGGCAGAGATCAAAAGTGTGATGACACATTGTGGGTAGACTGTAAAGAAACACACTGATGGATGGGCCAACTGCAACAACCTTAGGAGCCATCCCCTGCTCCCTGCTGTCTCTCAGGGTACACATTAGCAGGAAGATGGAATTGGAACAGGAGCTGAGACAAGAACCCAAGCATTCCATATGACATGTGGGATTTATTTATGGTATTTATTACGGTACCAGTGCTGTGGGCTAGGCAGCCACCTGCAGCGCCAGCATCCCATATGGGCACTGGTTCACATCTTGGCAGTTCTACTTCCAATCTAGTTCCCTGCTAATGTGCCTGGGAAACCAGCAGAGGATGATCCAAGTTCTTGGGTCCCTGCACTCACGTGGGAGACTGGGAACAAGTTCCTGACTCCTGGCTTCAGCCTGGCCCAGCCCTGGCCACTGCAGCCATTTGAGGAGTGAACCAGTGGATGAAAACCTTTCTCTCTAACTGTGCCTTTCAAATAAATAAAAGCAAACTTTTAAAAAAAAGATTTAAAAACCCCTTGCACAATGCTGACACCCCCCCACACACACACATACACACAGTGGTATCTTAACAATTGCACCTACTGGCTGGCTCAGATAGGTTTCTTTTTGCAAACATAAACATAAGAAGGATAGAGTCAACATTCATAAATATCACTATCTTTTACAGGCTAGATGCAGCTGGAGGAGAGGCACAAGGATGAGGGCAAGATTCCTCTGGGTATATCTTTGTAAAAACTCAAACTGTGAAACACGCAATGTTTTACATACTAAAGAATAAAATCTGCAAAAGAAACTAAATATGTAAATGGAAACAAATCTAATTTTTTTTTTTATTTAAAGATTTATTTATTTGAGGAGCCTTGATCAGGACTTGTCTTGGCTCCATTCTTTGCGTCCTTGTCCCCGCATTCCCACTCTCTGTTTCAGGAAGACCCAGTTCATTGTGCCGCAGGCCGGCACAAATGGCGCCCGAACGTGGGACCTGAGAATTAGAGAAGCAGTGAGGAACCTGGATTCACGGAGTCGCGACTATAGAGGTATACAATTTGTGGTGAGTACCCGACACCAAAATTGTGGAGATTTATTTTGAGCAGGCATTATGGGACAAGCATCGGGAAAAATCCCCCAGTAGTAAAGGCAGTGAAGGCATTATTGCAGACGCAAGGAATAGGGTTAAAAAAGAAAGTAATAGAGCAATTTATAGAAACCATAGAAATTTCATGTCCTTGGTTTATTGAAGAAGGCCTTGTAGATGAGATGCATCGGGAGGACATGAGAAAATTGAGGAAGCCAGAAGCTGTGATGGCGAGGATAATCGATCCTGCCGATCCTCTAGTTCTATGGAAAAAGTTAGTCCCTCCGCCCCTCCCTTTAAATTATTTATAAAAAATAATGATAAAAAATTACCCTTTGTCAAGAAGGGGAATGTTTGCCAAATATCTTAAAAAGAATGTCACTCAAACCCTGAGAAAAGCAGCACAGCAAGGCCAGGAGGAAGCCAAAATCTTTTGATGCTTTTCCAGTGAAAGTATATACAGAAGATGGCCAAGAAATGCCAGTCACCATCCAGTCCCTTTTAAAATGTTAAAAGATTGAAAATCTGCTTGTGATGCATATGAGCCCACTGCTCCCTATACCTATGGCCAGGAGAAAGAGAGAGGAAAAATTCCACAGGTATCTTGACCTAGAGAAAAGTCTTGATTCAATAACCCTTTCCAACCTGATAAATGTTTTTCCATCTTTGGTAGTTCCGGTATGTCTTGAAAAGCTTTTGTACGCTATTACTTATCTGTTTTAATTGAGTGGTTGCAGTAGCCCTGATTGGATCTGGCTCTGGTTTAAGATCTCAACTTGGTGGCTGTTTTAATTAGACTAGGCGCTATGGAGGTTCCCAGCACTCTTGGTGAAACGGCGCACCTACCCAACCCCATGGCCAGCCCTGCTAGGCCCCGGCATGTGCAGTCTTCCCTGTAAATGAGGGACCACAGCCTTTCTCTACACTCTATTCCAGCCAATGTGGCCTACCGCACCCATGCAGGCTTAGCCAGACATCTCTTGGGAAAGGGCTCCCCAGGGCCGCTTTTTTAGTCTCCATTTCCAATTCAATAACCTCCTCACTAGGAGGGGGGCAGGGGAAATGCCTCTGGCTACTGCTGGCCTTATCTAAGGGAGCAAGAACCTTAATCCATTAACCCTTTCCAACTTGATGGGTTTTTCTCTTTACAGTTAATAAAAACTTAAGCAATGGACTCATACGCTGATAATCAACTCTTTTCTGTACTGCTGTAGCTAACTTATCTGAGAGTTTTCATGTGTCTTGAAGGTTTCGCATTTTTCTATTGCCAGTATGAGTCTTGATTGGAAAAACTACAATACGAAGCTGTTTACGTTATTTGCCTGTCTTTAATGTTTGAGTGATTACCTAACACTGATCAGATCTAGCCCACAGCCTTGGTTAAACGTACTAATTTTTGACTAAAATGGTTTGACTCACTGATAGTTAAAATTCTAAACCAAGTCTTTCAACTTTGGGGCTTCCAGTCGGATCCCTGGAACTCTCAAAGGATGAGACTCTTTGTTAAAGTAACAGCTGTTTGAGTCAATTCAAATTATACAAAGTGTATTAAAATGTAGTAAATAGTAAATGATGTAATATCTATATTGTATTCATGTTTTTGCTTTTCAGCTAGAGTAGTCTTATAAAAATGAGAGTAAAATCTTTGTATATAAGCCTTTATGTTGTTAACTAAAGTAAGCCAATACAGATTGGTTCAGAAAATTGGGCTAATGCAAACGCCCTTTGGTTTGCTTACTCAGTTTTACATGTCTTTGATATGCTTTAAACTTGTTTCTCTTAAGGATGAAGATCTTTTCAAAGTTGTAAATATGCACTAGTGACTGTGTTTGCTGCTCAAGTGGTGTTATCCTTTTGTTACTTAAAAGCATGGAAATGTAATTTTGACTTTTAATTCAGATATTGGTGTGGTATTCATTAATAACTCTGTCTTAAGTTATCTAGGCATCGGTGCTAAGTAAAACATGAAAAATGTATTATGTGTACTTTTAACATCTTAAATTTGATAAGTTTGTCAGCATGTATTCTCATAGGTTGTCCACACATGACAATTCAAGACTGTAAAACTAACTACAGGTATAAAGTTTCAGAAGGTGTGAGCAAGTCATGAAAAGTTGTAAAAA